ATCTAGAATCCCCCTTTTTGCCTTTTTCTCTATAACATTGTACGAATTACTTTGAGCAACAGGAACACAGGAATGAAATAAAATGGTTAAGAAATATTTCTGTAATACATTTATAAAAGATATTACGTACGAAACTGTTTCTAGCAAAACTAGTAACCATTTCTAGTAGCTAAGATCTTTATGTTCTTTCACTAAGATATGGTGGCATTGGGCTGGGTGGTTTAGCCCAGCCCGATCCTAAAAAAATTAGGGCCTAGGCCAACCCAATGGGGATCAGGGCTGGCCAGCCCTACTAAAAAAATCGATTTAGATAAAATTGAAGTTTGAAGAAAAAAACTAATGAATTGTGGAAATAGTTTTTGTTTCTGCATCTTCTTCCATCGGGTCATTTCAACTATGTATCATTAGTATTTGGTGTGTGTCTGGGTGGTTGCACGTATTTTTCATCATGTGGGAGTAGATTGTACACTTACTATCGCAGGCAAAAACTACCTACCTTTGAGGATTTTATGATCTAATATTTTGCAATAAATATTGAATTCACCTGAAAATATTGAATTCACCCGATGAAAAATGTCAAAAATGTTTTGAATTTTTCGAAGAACGTAAAATGCAGATCTGTATTCTCTGTTGAAGTGGGCATCATTTGGACCCTTTTTATGGTGTGATTTCACCTTTTTTTAATTTTTTGATAACCGGAATGAATTGAAAGGATATGCAAATTTTGGGTTCTAGCCAATCCCCCTAAGCAGGTTTTTACCCACAAGAGTAAGTGTACAATATCCTCCTGCTAGAAGCAGGAGTACCAAATATATGTCCAAAAAATATTATTTCTTGGGTGGGTAAGAGGATCATTTCTACACGCACTTCAATCTCACACTAGAAATCTTTGGAGTTTGACAATTTGTGCATGGAATTGGATGGTTTCTTTGAGGGTTTATTAAACATGAATAAAGAATACATTAAAAAACAAGAAGAATAAAGAATGAATGGAGATGATAAGGATAAGGAAAAAGAGGATTCTTTTTTATTTTTTTTGGTGGGGGCCAATTGATGGAATAGTGTAAGCCCAACGGCCCAAATTGAATCTGGGCTGATCTGACGGTCATAATTGCATTTCGCAGTATAATTTTAATATTTTTTATATAAATCCAAATAACATGAAATTTGGGGCGTCCATTATACTCATCAATTCGTACGTAATAAAAATATTAAGCAAGTAATTTGCAAAAATTAAATTGATCAAAATACCCCTGAAGCTTTTCAGGGGTATTTTGGTCAATTTTTTTTTTTATGAATTTTTTTTTTGATATTTATACTAGATTCTACTATTTTCAAATAATAAACACTCCAAATTTCGAGTGATTTGGATTTGTAAAAAAATAAAATAAAATTCAAATGCAAAATGCAATCGTGATTATTGGACCAACCCAGATTGTTGGGCTTACACAATTCTATCAGCAGGTGAGCTGACAGTAGCTTTTTCTTATATATATATATATATGTGTGTGTGTGTGGGGGGGGGGAATGCTTGCATGCTTCCCAAGTCCCGTAGACCCTTGTCTTGCTACCCTCTAAAGAAATCATCTTAGCAAGATTTACTTAAGCCCATATTTTGGGGATGATTTTAAAAGTACTAGATGAACAATTGCAAGATTTTGAGCCCATGTAACCTCCGATTTGTTAGTGAATCAAATTGGATTGCTGGAGCTGACTTTATTTCCTCTTTCCCTAGTAAACCATTTTTTAATTTTATTTTTAATTTTTTTCCATGAGCATGTGCCATCATGTGCTTGTATAATATCCCGAACATGTTTATTTGGTTGGTGAACCTTGGTTGTATGGAGATGGGGCATATCTATGCCTTCTTACGCCTACACACACATATAATACTATATGGAATATTTTATGATCATAATTAACCTTGCTGGACATTTAGCATCATTCTTTTGCTATGATTTGTTTTTTGTTTATTAACTTTTTAGTGACTATAGAGACCGGAAATTATTATGAAAAGGCATGTGTTTGCAATGTATGGTTGATGCAATCATTCACATATGCTATTTGGTGTTTGTTACTAACTAAAAAAATACCCTCTTCTTTTACTGACAGTTTCACTCTTCTCCTAAGCCATCATCATCATCATTGGAGCTTTTTCCCAATTATTTGGGGTTGGCTAGACCAATCCTGGTCTTCCGTTTGGCCCTACTCTTCTCCTAAGTAATGACATTAAATGCACTCAAATAGAAAGATAAAGGGAAATTTAGATTTAACCCCCACTCACATTTGGCCCAACAAAAATCCTCCACCCCCTTACTATGAGTTCCAATGGTTCTTATAAGAAGTCCTAATATAGGATTTTAACCCACTTATGGACTACAATGCCCTTATAGTTTTTCTACCATTCTGCTCTACTCTTCTCCTAAGTAATGACATTAAATGCACTCAATAGAAAGATAAAGGGAAATTTAAATCTAACTCCCACTCACGTTGGACCCTACAAAAATCCTCCACCCTGTACTAGGAGTTACTATGTTTCTTATAAAAACTGCTAATATAGGATTTTAACACACTTATGGACTACAATGCCCTTATAATTAGTAAAAGTATATTGCCACAATGTCTCTCTCTCTCTCTCTCTCTCTTTCTCTCTCTTTCTCTTTCTCGGTCTCTCTAGCTCTCTCTCAAACTGCCTATGACAATATTGTTCCTTTTCCCCTTCCCTTTCTTCTTCCCTTTCTCTGGTTTCTCTGAAAATTATTCAGTTCATCCTTGAACATTTCATTCAATTCCCCTGGAACAAAATGGAAACATGTCCAGATCCCCTAATAAAAAATGGTTAGACTCTTGTCTTGACAAAAGGAACACCTAAAAGGCGAGCGCCTTCAACTGATTCGGTAAATATTATAGAACTCATTTTCACTTATTTTACTTCTTCGGTGGAAGAAATCAGAACCCACCAGTACTTCTTACTCTGGTTCAGAATGGAATCTGGAGACAATGGCAGGTTTATATTTGGTTTTGAAGAGAAAACGTGTTTTGTCTCTGGTTCTTACTCTCTGTATCTGAAGAGAAATTTGAGACCATGAACATCCCAGTGGATAGACTCATCCGTGGATGTTTCTTGTGATGACTTGGAAGAGAGAGAGAAAACCCGTTTCAATTTCTCTCTCTAGTTCACTGGATGAGTCTATTGATATAGAGGATCACTGTTGAATGTAGACGAGAAACAAGCATCCGTGCAGGATTCTGAAGGATTGGGGTCCTCATTTATCTATCAAAAAAAGGAATGTGTACCAATGGAGATCGTTCCTCTAAATTCCAAAGAAATGGTGGGTTCTTTATTATGTATGAAAGCCAAATTCGAACTGGTTCCTCACTTTGAAGTCATGGGGTTTGGAACTGAAATCTGTATCAATGGAGATTTCTCTCTCTAGTTTAGAAAAAAATTCTGAACGAAGGGGTGCTTCTCTTTCTGGTTTGGGATTGAAACCACAACCAATTTCTGTTTCTTCTTCAGTCTAATGATGACAAGAGAGCCACAACAACTGCCATTTCTCTTTGGATATCCAATGCCATGAAAGCTTCATTTACTGTTCAAGAAGAGAAACCCAAATTCTAGCCCAAACCCAATGTGGGTTCTTCCTATGCTCTCAAACCACAAACTGATTCATGAAAAAAATCCAAATCCTCTGAGGTTTTTCTCTTCTTTCAAACCATGGAAACATTCTGGTTTAATAGAGAAACCCAACTTCACTATTCAAGAAGAAGATAAGAAAAGCCAGAAGCAGAAGTACAACAATTAGGCCTTGGGACCATCATGGAGGGTGGTGGGGGGGGGGGGGGGGGGAGTTATGTGGGTTTTTTTTGACATGATAGTTGTTGGAACTTGGAGTTGTGTTTGCGCCAAAGGGATTGAGGGTTTTTGTTGGGTTAAATGTGGGTGGGGGGTTAATTGTAAGTTTCCGTGAGAAATATTTTGTATTATTGCTAGTTATATTAAGTGCTAAACAATAGAAAGTGTTGGGTAGGACACGAAGATCTTTTGGCTAGGTTGTATCGTTATGTTGAAATGGCATATGAGCAGTTACTTTCAATTCACAGCCCCTCAAAAATGAAAAGTTGACATTAGAATGGCTCATGAATAGATGATAACCACGAATACCCTCCAAGTTGTATTTTTTTTAACTTATTTAAAGAGCTAAATTACAGGTATTAGCACTGTATATGGCGCTTCCTTTAGCAGTTTTATATTTTTCTTTCCACTTTGAATTCTCATTTCTTCGTTCATGAAATGTCCTCTTGAATTTTTTTTAAAACTATTATATGTTTGGTGATATAAACAGATTTTTGCTGTTTACATTAGTTGCTGCCTTTTAGGTCTCTGAATATATTTTTTTACTTTATTTTCTTCCACGTTCATTGTCCATTACCTTAAATTTCTGTAATTTGTATGTGCATTCATCTGTTTATTGTGAATTCAATCAACCTCAGATTCATTCTTCCCTCAGGAGAATTCTTGTTGCTCCCAACATTGGAGGCATCCAAGAAAATATTGGTTTAGAGTAATCTAATGATATGTTAGCAGAGTCTAGTTTAGTGGACGGAGGTGGATATATGGGCTGATGTTGGTTCAGTGCCCTTTATCAGGTAGTCTTTGTGTTGACCTTTCGGAAGCTAGGTATTGGCAAAGGCCCTCTGTCGTTTAACTCGTGTTCTGGTACTGAAGTTTGTTATCGACTAATAATGTGAGGATTATTTCTTTTTCTGGAGAAAAGATCGGGGATTGTTGAGTGGTTATTATTATCTTATCAAGTGTCACAGTAGTCTAGAGAGCTTGGTATTATCACGTTCACTGTTTGTGCCGAAAAAGGTGTCATGAACATTTTTATCAAATATGTGCTCACCTAGTTTCTTCATACCTATGTTGTCAGCCTTGTAAATGGAGATGGTAAAAGTAAATTCCTTATTTTAAACTACATTTCTTTTTATATTTGCAGGCAAACAGAATGGATGTTGTATGGGGAGAAACTGCGAGTGTTGAGGGTCAATTGTGGCTGTTATATCCTGTTCTTTTCATTTTACAGGCAAGTATTCATATATAATTGTCTCCTCAATATGGCTATCGAACAGTTTGACCAGTATTTGCATGAATCATGAATGTTTGCTTGGTTTGGCCCAATAATTTTGGTAAATAGTTAAATGTCTACTCATCATGCATACACCTTTCTAAATGCTTATTTTACATCTTTGTAGCTGAGTTTAGAAAGTTATGTTAGGTTTTACTCTTTCACATGTATCATGCTTTACAAATTACTAAATGGTATTTAATGTGTCTATGGAGTTTTAAGGGTTTCATTGTTCATTTCTAGTGCAGTACTGTTATGAAATTTCAACAGCTATTGTCATATAATGTAGTAGTTGGATGATTAGAGCAAAGAAAAGGCATAATTGTCATCTAGGTATGTAAGCATTGAACATGTGAAGTTGTAAACTGCTTTGGTACGATTGTTAGACACTGTAGGCGACACTTGCTCCTAATGATGGAAGATTCTGATATATATCTCGTAGATTTGTTGCATAGTTTCATTTAGAGCATATGTCTGCTTAGGTCATTGCAAAATGTTTCTTTGAGTTCTTCGCAACAGTTTGGCATAATTCAAATTTCAGAAGAAAACCTTGGTGTTGATTTCTATCAGTAGTGTATATATTAGAGTATCGTGGTTCCGGAGGGTAGGTGAAACTCAGATACTCTTCTTTAGGTGTGCTTTTGCCTATAAGTTCCTCAAATATCAAGAGAAAATCCTTGACTAAGTATCTGTCTTTGAGAAGGGCCTAAACCGAGTGTAGTCTCAGCTAACCTACTGTTTACACAAGGTGGGTCCTGGCTTACCTTGTTATTTTTGTGGAAATATGCAATTGCATAGATATCCAGAGACCTACTGGGCATTGAGATTCTGCTTGTTATCTCACTTTTGGGCATAACATGACCTACTGGGCATTGAGATTCTGCTTGTTATCTCACTTTTGGGCATAACATCTTTTTTATTTGTTACTTAATAGCAACGTCATTAAGACTGGATCCGTGGTTGAACTGGTTGACGTACCAGTTTTGTCAGACCAGTCGAAATGGACCTGTTAACTGGTCACACTGGTCAAAGTTTTTAAATATTAAAAGAGCTTAGGCAAACACATAAATTTAGAAAAAATAAAAAAAAAGGAAACCGAAGAGGTTAGAAAATAAAGAAGATTCAGAAAATTATTAGGAACAATGAAAACTTGTTCGAAGCAAATTATGAAATATGTGAATATAACACCCCTTATTGCGTGATGCTCTCCACTTAGCACTAATTCATCAATCAATAACTAATTAGACAATGGATCTGAAAAATTACAAAGCCCCATACTGAAAAATATGAATAAAAACCTATAAAAGTGCATTACAAGAATAGACATTAAAAAACCCCTTACCTTTCCTGGAAAATATTCAATGAATGTGAAGTATTTGAATCATCATCGTGATCATCCAAGCTTTATCCCAATTATTTGGGGTTGGCTACATAAATCCTGTTCCTTCATTCTTCTCTTAGCATAGGTTCAGGATTCATGATCAAATGTGGCAAAATTTTATGCTGGCTACCTACCTATTGCAAACCATCGCTTTTACGTAGGCTTGGGACGGGTTAAGGGAAAGTTTAAGGTCTTCACCTTTATTAGACCAATGTGAAGTATTTGAATAATTGAAAAAAAAAATCGATTTATTCATATCAATATCATTATTAAAGAAAGGGAAAATAATTCCTTATCCCCTATTTTTAACTTCTATATCTCATGAGACCCAAGAATTGAAAATATTACTTGTAAGCAAAAAGTCTCCATCTTTTCTATCTTACAACCCCCTAGACCCCTTTGACCATAAATTTTTGACCCAAACAAACACTAAAATGACACCCTATCTAAACTCCATCTCTCTCTCTAAAATTCCATCCCTCTCTCCCATCACCTCTCTCTCTCTCTCTCAAAACTCCATTTCTCTCTCTAAAACCCAAACTCCATCTCTCTCACATCACCGTCTCTCTCTCTCAAAACTTCATCTCTCTAAAACCCAAACTCCCTCTCTCTCTAAAACTCAATCCTCTCTCTCACATCACCATCTCCTTTTCTTTCGCAAAACTCCATCTCTCTCTAAAACCCAAACTCCATCTCTTTCTAAAATCAAGTCTCTCCCTGCATCTCTCTGGTTTTCTATTGTTGCAGCCACAAGTGTCCCCAATTGGGGCAGTTGGGTACACAACATTCAAATTTTGTCTGACTTTCACAATTCTCATGAATAAACTACTGAAGAATTTAGCAAACTGTCTCTCTAACAACTCGAATATAAGCAGATAGTATTACCTCCCTCATAATCACCTGATATTTACACATTCTTGAAGTATTTGGAATGTTGTGGCAAATTAGAGTCGTTGAACTAGGAAATAATCTAATAAATTCTGGTCCATTAAATATTCAAAAATCTGGCGTATTGCTCAGTATGTTCATGTTTTCTCTATATTACATTAAAATTTGCTGCAAATTATAGTGTAGATCAGATTGTTGATACATGTTTACCAAACCTATTCCACAAAAACCAAAAAACAAACCCAAAAGAACTGAAATTTTGGAAAATTACAAAATTTTGGAACTGAAATTTTGGAAACCCCTTCTGGTTTGGTTCCTGGCTCGACGAAAAAGAACTGAAATTTTGAAAAGTTGGTTCCTAGAACCATTCTCATGGATCTTGCGCCCGAAACCATGGATAGTGTGCGCATTGGTCCTTACGGCTAGATCTTCAGGTCTGATAACTTTGTGTTTGGTCAATCTGGTGCTGGAAACAACTGGGCCAAAGGCCACTACACAGAGGGGGCTGAGCTCATTGATTCAGTGCTTGATGCGGTGAGGAAAGAGGCTGAGAACTACGATTGCTTTCAAGGATTTCAAATATGTCATTCTCTTGGTGGATGGACTGGATCTGGAATGGTCAACATTTTGTAACGGCAAAAAGGTGAGGGGGCTTGAGAGGCAAATTGCAGAGAGACAAAGTGGGAGCTTGGCTCCCTGTTGGGCTGTGGCCAAGAGTGGCCTGTTGTATAGGCTTGTAGTGCTTGTGGGGCATGGATGTTTCTTAAAAAAATGAAGGCCTTTGCTTGTTCTCCTGATTTTGTTACATGTGATACCATTATCAATGGATAAGAAAACTGAATGGTGAGTACAGGGCCAAGAAGGCGTTGAAAACCAGAGCAGTAATGTTCGTTTGGATGGTGAGTTCAGGGCCAAGAAAGCGATGTGAGAGAGATGGAGTTTTAGTGAGAGAGATGGAGTTTTAGAGAGAGATGGAGTTTGGGTTTTAGAGAGAAATGGAGTTTTGAGAGAGAGAAACAATGATGTGAGAGGGATGTGAGAGAGGGATGAAGTTTAGATAGAGTGTCATTTTAGTATTTGTTTGGGTCAAAATTTATGGTTAAAGGGGTCTAGGGGGTTATAAGATATAAAAGGTGGAGACTTTTTACTTACAAGTAATATTTTCAATTCTTGGGTCTCATATGATATGGAAGTTAAAAATAGGGGATAAGGGGATATTTTCCCTTGAAGAAATCTCAAAATACTAAAAAACACATATAGTCCTAGCATTTCCATTGAAGATTTAAGTAGTGAACAGCCTAATCATTTTTTCATTTCAAACTAAAGAAAATAAGAAATACCCAAAATTCTAACCATGGAACAAATTTTATATATTAACATTCTCCGTAGTTCTATTATACAACCAAGAGTAAAACTAGAAATGTAAATTAAAACAATAGTACAGAAAAAAGCAAACATGTGTATACACAACATTTGCACAAAATCCACCAAATATGTGAATACCTGATATATTGAAGCCAAAAAAAACCATTATATCATTCACTAGAAACAACTGATTCCAATGATTAATAAAAAAAAATCATTGTTTGGAAAATCCCTAGAAAATGAAAATTTCTTCTAATGGTTAAAATCTAAAACAAACAAATTAGAAAACAAATCAAATAAACTTTCTTGGGGTTTGAAATAATGTGGATTCAGTGGTAGGGGTCCCCTCAGAAACTTGCTGGAATATAGCTTACAATCTAGGGTTATTGGGTAGAGAGGGAGAAATATTTGCTAACTTGCTCTCTCTGTTTTCTCTCTTTAACTCTGGTTTTGGAAACCCAGAACCCTCCTAAGCAATATAAATTACAAAACTGCGCCTTATTGTATTTGTAAAGATGAAAAAACAACCACAATGATCCAAAATAAGGAATATAAAAGGTTGTTTTTGGTCGTTATTATAGCATATCGGGATTGGGCGGTTCAGTCTGGACTAGTCAAAGCAGTTGATCCAGGCATGGAAACATATATTCTCTTGTTTGATGCTTGGTTCATTGGTCATGGTTGGAGACACCCCTCTATTCTTTTGTTTTTTGGTTTTTTTGTTGCAAGTTAGGGCATGAGTAGAAATTTAATAATCCTAAGTTCCTAACTTTCTAGTGATGGCAGCTCATTTACTTCATGAAGATGACAAAATTACCATTTCTTGATGAGAAAGATACAAAAAAAAGAAATTTTTTTAAAAAAAGAAACCACGTAGTTAGTAAATTCACTATTCACAATTTATTCGAACATTGAGGCTCTAAACAATCAAATTAGAACCTACCTCAAAAATTTTACTAGAAGAGATTGTTTTGATACCCAAATATCCTCAAATTGATCATCTCGATATCAAGATGCATGCACATGAGAAAAAAATGGATTTCAAGTTTTGAAAATAGTGTATTTTGTAGTGCATTTTTGGACCGTCAATTTTCAAGATTTTCAAGTTTTCATAGATCTGTCGATCTACACTATTTTTGAAGCTATAACCTTTATAAATGAAGGTGAAAATATATTTTAATGCTATCACAATAATTTTCAGTGTTGAAACCACATGTCTCGATACTATTTGAAGGTAGGCTCTAATTTGATTGTTTAGAGCTTAGGCTGTATACAAACCGCTCCTATATATATATATATATA